GTACCTCCAGCAGGACCAACTCCAGCAGCCCCAGCAGCACCACCAGTCCCAGCAGCTCCAGTACCGCCAGTACGAGTACCTCCGGGACCAGCAGCAACAGTAGTACCCCCAGCTCCAGCAGCACGGCTCTAGCGCCGGGCAAACCACTCGCGTAGCTCCTGCGGAGAGAGTAACTCCCGCCTCGACGAAGTACCGCGAGAGGCCACACGAGCAGACCCAGCACCCCCAGGCTCCGCACCCCTAGGCTCAGCACCCCCAGGCTCAGCACCCCCAGACTCAGCACCCCCAGACTCAGCACCCCCAGGCTCAGCACCCCCAGACTCAGCACCCCCAGGCTCAGCACCCCCAGGCTCCGCACCCCTGGACTCAGCACCCCCAGACTCCGCACCCTCAGGCTTAGCACCTCCAGACCCGGCACCCGCAGGCTCAGCACCTCTAGCAGCACCAGAGTCAACAGCTACCTCGACAGGCTCGACTGCATCTACCTGAGACACACCGGACGGAGCAGGACCCTGAGGGGGGAGGGGGTCTACCGGGGGAGAACCTGGCGCAAGGAAGAGCGGCGGCGGGGGGGGAGGCGCAGTGCGGTAGGGGAAGAGACGGTAGTAAGGCACCGACTCGTCGAAGGTGACGTCCTGGGAGGACAGAACACGGCGCGAGGTGGGGTGGTAAAACTGCCAACCAGGCGCGTCAGGGGGGAAGCCAAGGAAGACGCAGGGAACAGCACGGGGGGACAGCTTGTCCGCAGACAAGTCGCGGACAAACGCCCGAGATCCCCAGACCCGAAATGCAGACGCATCGCCAACCTTCCCCGTCCACCGCAAGGTGGGGGAGGTCTCTGGCAAGGAGACCCGGGGCTGAAGGTTGAGCTGATGCGCTGCATACTGAACCGCAAACGGCCACAGAAAATGGGGGGCAGCCGCATGGATCATGGACGTGCGAGCGACGTCCATGACCATGCCAATGCGGCGCTCAGCAATCCCATTTTGCTGTGGAGAGGCCGGAAGCGTGAAGGTCTGGCGGATGCCCTGTGCACGACAGAAGGCTCCTAGACGGGCAGAGGAAAACTCCCCGCCTCTGTCAGAGTGCAGACGCAGAACAGGAAAGTCCGAGCCGAAACTCTCTCTGAGGTGGAGACGAGCTGCGCGGATCCAGTCGATCAACACCTCAGTGACGTCACCCTTGCTGCGCAAGGGGAAGACTGTGGTGTAACACGAGTAGTCGTCAACCACCAATAGGAAGTAACGCTCGTGACCCTGGCCACGGACGCAGGCGGGGCCCCACACGTCCATGTGAATAGTCTGCAGTGGAGCCTCTGTCGAAGGAAACTCGGAGGAGTGAGGGGCGGCGCGCTGTCGCCCCTCGACGCAGGGGACACAGGTAGGGGCAGGCCCCGGAGGCAGGGGAGGGAGAGACCGGGGGAGACCAGAGACAAGGACACGAGCCATGCCTCGGAGACGAGGCAGGGAGGGGTGACCAAGGCGGTGGTGCCAGAGGAGAGTCTGGTGGGACAGGAGACGACACGAGCAGGGAGCAGACTCAGGACCAGACCTGGACGCTGCAGCAACCACCTGACTCGACGCAGCTACCTGACCAGACTCAGCAACTGGAGGAGACGCAGTAGTAAGGGTGTACAGGCTCGACCCCGGCCGACGGGTGAACGTGGCCAAGTGTCAGCCCGTCCGAGCACACGTGCAGTGGGTCACCCGCTGACTCGCAGGAGTGAACTGGTGAACCCCCCTATCCTGTAGATCAGCTCCACTCACCAAGTTCGTAGAGAACGAGGGGAGGTAGAGACCTGACAGGGTGCCAGAGGGGGCTGCCGGGCACGGTAAGACAGTGGAGAAGCTAGCAAGGACAGGACCCCCAGAGGGGTCCGCCAGGGAGACCGCAACCGGCCGACTAAGCGGCGTAAGTGTGGTGCGGTCTCGAAAGAAGGAGCGGGAAGCACCCGAGTCAAGGGTGAAGGTGTGGAAGGCCTGAGCCGACGTGGTACCTGAGAGAGCAGACTCACTAGCACCTGGGGGAGCAGACGCACTAGCACCTAGAGCAGCAGCCTCACCAGTACCTAGAGCAGCAGCCTCACCAGTACCTAGAGCAGCAGCCTCAATGCCCGGGTCAGGCGGAACACACAGGTAACAGTCACCCTCAACACTATCACATACAGCATACATGGCAGCAAGAATAGCATCATAATCAAGATCAAAGATAGCAACCCCCGCCCTAGACAGCTCTCCCCAGCGAGGGATCTCAGTGGCGTCAGGGAACTGGTGACGCCACGCGTCCGTCAGGCGGCCGAAGCAGCGCTGGGTGGAGTGCAGGCCCCCGCACTGCTCACCAGCGCGGTCGCCGGTACGGAGGACGTAGGTGCAGGGACCAGTACCCCCACCTCGCTGACGCGCAGCGTACCACTCACGAAGCTGCTGAGGGGACAGGGTCGCACGACTGCGCTGCTGCTGCTGGCGCGGACCACCTCCGGACCCACTCCTCTGCGCAGAGCCGCGACCAGCTCCACCGCTGCCGCCGCCACCTCCGCCACCTCCGCCGCCTCCGCCACCTCCGCTCCCTCCGCCACCGCCGCCGCCTCCTCCGCCTCCACTGCTGCCACCTACACCTCCACCCCCGCCACCACTCCCACCACCACCCCAACCCCCTCCACTACCTCCACCACCACCTCCACCGCCCCCGCCAGCCCCTCCAGTGCCCTTGCCCCCCTTGCCCTTGCCGGTGCGGCGTCTCCCGCTAGGGGTAGACGCAGCGCCGACCGACTCGAAACCACCGAGGTCGGCCGCAGCAGCAGAAGCAACAGAGGGCAAGAGGGGGGAAGGGGAACACCCCTCAAAAACGGGGGTGCGAGGGTCACCACGAGAGGCTCCTACAGCGACTATGCTCGTCTCTGCTGCTAGGAGGCGCTCCTCGAGGAGGTCAACGGTGGGGCAAACTGAGAGGAAGTGGTCCCTGACTAAGCGAAGGGAGTCAGGGAGCCGGGTGACTATGTAGTAGAGGGTGATGTACATGGGGGGGGGGTTCTTGGCACAGAACTCAGCAGGAAGCGCAGCGCGGTAGCGAGTGTCACTAGTGCGAAGGTGCGTAATGAGGTCAGCGACTGTGGGAAAGGCAGCAAGGTCAGGGAACAGGTACGGCAGCATGAGGCGGCTAAGCGCAGCAGTGGCAGGGGAAGAGTAGCGCGTAACTACAGCGTCGTACAAGGTCTGAGCACTCTTGTACTGGCTAAAGTGCGCACGCTCAGTGGTCGGTAAGTGGCGACGCACAGCAAGACGGGCAGCAGCATCGCGTGTGGCCCACTGTGAGCGAACCGTGCTGTCAGCAGTAGCAGGCGGGGCAGGAGAGGCACCAGAGGTGAGATCGAACAGGGAGAGTCCGTCTGCCCTATCGCACTGTAGGAACAGCTGGAGGTCATCGACCCAGACCTCAAAGTCAACAGCACGACCCTCAGCATCAAAGGTAAGGACACTGGGGGTAGCCATGACTGCAGTGGCCTAACAGAGAGTGATCTCACCAGTCCGAGGAAGTAGGGCCGGGGCGCGCCGGTAGGAACAGTAGCGGCTCGACAGCAGGGCGGCTCGGCGGCTCAGCTGCTGGGCGGCTCGGCTGGCGGGCGGCTCGGCGGCTCGGCTGCTGGGCGGCTCGGCTGTCAGGCGGCTCGGCGGCTCGGCTGCTGGGCGGCTCGGCGGCTCGGCTGCTGGGCGGCTCGACGGCTCGGCTGCTGGGCGGCTCGGCTGTCGGGCAGCTCGGCGGCTCGGTTGCTGGGCGGCTCGGCGGCTCGGCTGCTGGGCGGCTCGGCGGCTCGGCTGTTGGGCGGCTCAGCTGCTGGGCGGCTCGGCGTCGAAGGGGCCGGTAGAGGCGGCGTCGGGGCCGCGTAGGGAGGGGAGCAGCGACGGGGCCGCTAGGGGCGGCTACGGGGCCGCGTAGGAGCGGCGACTGGGCCGCGTAGGGAGGGAGGCGGCGACGGGGCCGCTAGGGGCGGCGACGAGGCCGCGTAGGGGCGGCGACGGGGCCGCTACGGGGCGGCGACGGGGCCGCGTAGGGGCGGCGACGGGGCCACGTAGGGGCGGCGACGGGGCCGCGTAGGGGCGGCGACGGGGCCGCGTAGGGGCGGCTACGGGGCCGCTAGGGGCGGCGACGGGGCCGCGTAGGGGCGGCGACGGGGCCGCTAGGGGCGGCGACGGGGCCGCGCAGGGAGGGAGGCGGCGACGGGGCCGCTAGGGGCGGCGACGAGGCCGCGTAAGGGCGGCGACGGGGCCGCGTAGGGGCGGCAACGGGGCCGCGTAGGGGCGGCGACGGGGCCGCTAGGGGCCGCGAGGGGCCTGGAAGGGCGGCGACGGGGCCGCTAGGGGCGGCACGAGGGGCCGTGAGGGGAGCCTCTAAGAGAGCACAACAGAAGGGCGGCCCACAAGACGCGCCTCGGGCAGGAGCGACTGGCGCTCCGGTCAGAAAAAAAATTCAGTGGTGGTGGGCCCAAGGAAGCGTTCCCACTAGGGAACCTGCTCTATACCATGTGAAGAAATGAGGAATGGTTGAACTAGGAAAGTGTGAGATACAAATATGAAAGCTGTACCCCTTAGTGTCTACCCCACTACAGCCTACATAGGCTAAGGCATATAAGTCTGACACCAGGAGCCCGAATCCGACGAGGAGTAGATTTTCTAGGTAGAAATGCTAAACTTAGCAATTTCTAGTTTAGTGTCAGTGTTAGTGTCTATAAAACTGTATGTTGTAGGTGAAAATTTATCATGTTCATGCTTAGTGTTAATTGTTGTTCATATTTCGTAATGAAACCTCCACAACGTGAAAGGGGTGCGCTTATAATAAGTACACCCTCTAGAGGGGGGGCGCTTATAACCGAGTTCCGGCCATAAGCGCCATGCTCCAGATAGAAGCACCGGCGCTCTTAATCGGACGGCGCCTATATCCGGGGCCATACGGTACCATAGTTAGAAAGCACCATTACCGTAATAGAACCAGTAAACACATAAGAATCATTCCTCGTCTTCCAGAGCCGGGCGGCCCCTGCCTCGACCACCAAGCCCCCCACCTGGTCTTCTGAACCCACCTACACCACCACTAGCAGCAGGACCACCAACACCAGCACCACCACCAGCAAAACCAGCACCAGAACCAGCAGCACCACCAGCGTTGCCCATCCGCCCCATCCTGAACCCACTCCTGCCTCCTCTGCCACCCCCACCAGTCCCACCACCCCCAATGCCGTCCCCTGCTTCCATACCCTCTCTTGCTCCCATCTCTTCCAACCCCTCCATGCCTGGACGCCCCCTCACTCTCCCCGCTCTGCTCCTCCCCACCCCACGCCCCACCATGCCGCCCTCCATCCCATCTGCACCCCCGCTCTCCCCAAACGGACCACTCCGCTGGAACGGACCACCATCCATGCCCGCAGCTCCCATGCCCGAACCTCCCATGCCCGAACCTCCCATGCTTGCACCCCCCCTGCCTGAACCTCCCATGCCCAAACCTCCCATGGCCGAACCACCCAATCCTGCACCTCTACCCTTAACACCTCCCATCCTTCCCGCACCTCCTCCTAATGCCCCTCCACCCACCCGCCCATCCCCATCATAATCATCTGCATCACCCCTACCTGCCATTCCTGCTGCTCCTGCACCTCCCATTCCGGCACCTCTACCCCCTACGCCTCCCATCCTTCCCGCACCTCCTGTTGCCCCTCCACCCACCTGCCCATCCCCATCATAGTCATCTACATTACCCCCACCCGGCACATCTGCTGCTCCTGATCCTGCCCCTGCTGCTGCCCCTGCTCCTGCTGCTACGGATGACACGTCAGCGCTGGCATCAACGCCGCTGCTGCTGTCACCACCACTGCGCTTCTTAGAAAACCACGACCACAGGCCAGAGCCACTGCTCCCAATACCACCACCCCCTCCCAAACTGCTGCTGCTGCTAGTGGTATCATTACCACCTGTTGCCGCCCCTATTCCTATTCCCTGCCAGCTTTCCATGTCCTCCTCCCCATCCTCAAACCCAGCCGCCCTGCTGCTCCTCCCCATACCCCCTCCTACAACCCCCCCCAAACCCCCTCCTAAACCCCGTTCCGTACCCCCTCCTGCACTCCCTCCTGTGCTCCCTCCCACGCCCACACCACCCTCCTCCTCCTCGTCCCAATCGCCGGCTGATCCCCCCCCAGTACCACCACTGGAACCCCCATCAGTGGCCCCTTCCCCAGCTGAGCCTGTCTTCTTCCCTCCACCAAACATGCTTGAGAAAAACCCAAGAATCCCTCCAGACGAGCCCCCTGCCTTGCTGCTGCTGCTGCTACTGGTATCAGAGCCTGCAGTAAGATCGTCCTCTTCCATCTCATCTGCCTCCCCGCCCACTCCTGCTCCTCCCGCTCCTCCTGCTGCTCCCCTTGCACCCGCCCCTCCGAAACCCCCCATTCCCCTGCCACCCATACCAGCAGCACCAGCATCATCACCATCGTCATCATCATCACCAGCACCACCAAATTTTCCCAAGCTGCTGCTGCGGGGGAAGGAGGAAGAGGAAGAGGAGGAGGAGAAGGGGAGACCCGCTCGCTTCCTGCCAAAGCCCATGGTGCTGCTGCCCAGAGCACCCTCGTCATCAGTGTCCCCACTGCCGAGAGGAGAGGTTGGGAGAAGGGGGGAAAAGAACGGAGAGGACTGATGTATCGACTTCAGAATTGTGATGGAAGGACGAGCATGAGAAGGGGGTTCCTGTAGCATTCCTGCAAACGGCTGGGATGGGGGCGAGCGGGGGCAAGGAAGAAATCCCATCCAGCAAAAAAAGAGCACAAACTATGCAAGACACGACCACAACGGCTTTACAATTGCCTTCATACGTACATTACTCACAAACACACGACGAAAGGGCACACGCGACCATGAATGGCATACCTCAAGTCACGGCTGAAGGCGCTTTTGAACGCTCCTCCCTCATTCCATGCCCCCCTTGCCCTGGTGGCCTGGCTCGACTGTCCCCCCAACCGTCCCCCTCTCCCGCCCCCCCATGCTGACTCCGCATCCCCCTCCTCTTCCTCCTCCCCATGCCCCACCCCCCCCGACCATCTGCCTCCGCCTTTCCCCTTCCCCTTCCGCCTGCTACTGCTGCCGCCTTTCTTGCTCCTCCCCCCTCGCCTCACATCCTCATCCTCGTCATAATCATCCTCGGTATTGTCCAGACTGTCTCTCCGCTTTCCTCTTGTCTTGCTCCCACGCTTCCCCTTCTTCCCCCTCCTCTTCGTCCGCTTCTTCTTCTTCCCGCGCTTCTTCTTCCCTTTCCTCCCACTCCTACCCCTCCCAACCGCACTCAACCCCTCACTCTCCTCCTCCTCATAGTCCCCACCTCGCATTCCCCCTCGTTTCAAGCCTCCCTTACCCCCGCTAAGAGCACCAATCGCATCAATCACTTGCCGGCTATCCCTCGGATACAGCGGATCTTCTCCATTGTCATCATCAGAACCTTCCGCGAACCGTCGCGGAAAGTTCGACCCACCGAGCCCTGCACCAGCACCATCCACGTCATCATTTCCCCCCCATCCGGACCGCGCTCCCCCTCCTCTTCCGATACCCTTCCCGGATTTCCAGGAGCTAGCTCCTCCAAAACCGGAGCCTCCTAAACTGGAACCTCCTATGTCAGAATCCAAGTCCTGGTCACCGTTCCAACGGCTCGGTTTCCCGCCAAAACTAGGCTTTCCGAACGCGGATTTTGACGCGCCGTCAATGCCGCCGCTCCCACCGTCAAAGCTGCCGTCGCCGTCAGAGAAAGCAGGCGGGCTGCCGGCAGCCACGCCTCCGTAGTCCTCATTTCCGTACGACGCGCCGTCATCGTCGCTGGTGTTGAGACGTGTCACCTCTCGCGAGCGGAAGGCCGAGAGGCCGAGGAAGAGCGAGCCAATGAGAATCAAGAGCGCGATTGCGAGAAGGACGGCACAAGACGAGACGGAAAGCCGCGAAAAGGGGAACGGCAGTGGCAGGTTTCGACGGAAAAAGGACGGCTGGTCGGAGCGACCGTCGGGAATGGCCCATTTGAAACCCTCGACGCGCGAATTGCTGCGACGCTCGCGAGTGTTCGCTGCTGCAGGCGATTTCATCGCATCCTAAGGTCGTTACCCGCTGAGGAATTGGGGGGATTGCATTGGTTGGTGAAGTGAATATTACCGATAGAAATATGTAAATATATCCAAAATAAATCTAACAAAATAAGAATCAGGCGCCTTCGATCAGGTGTCGCATGAAATGCGATGCGACTGAGGGGCGATATGGGGGCGGGCGATGCGGGTCAATCCAACCGCTTGTCAAAGGAGGTCAAGGGAGCACGGAATTGCAACGTAGAATGCCAATGTCAGCGACTGACATAGAATAGGACAGCGGAATCGCGCGTCGCAGATTCACCAACCTCGGAGCAAGAACTAGGATACATTTCAGATTCCTAACAGAAATAGTACGAGGTAGGTGGGTTTCTGGAAGGTGTTTATATGGCTGCTGTGTTGGTTAGTTGAAGGGAGGGGTGGAGTGGGATTAGCTGCGGTGAAGGTTCGTGAGTTCAGTACTTCCTCACAATTGATGAGGTAGGTGAAATGCCTCGTGTACAGTACGTAATGTGTCAGTGTTACGGGTGCAATGAATCGAGGTAGCGAGGATTGCACTAGAGTGTTCAACGAGTACAAAGTATGAGCGAAGGCATGAGAGATTACTTATACGCGAAACATGCAAACGGTAACGCGGTGCGTGCGAGCTAGCTAGTGCTACGCTGGCGTGAGGTTTGGGCTAGTCCCGAAGCGTAGGCCGACTCGGCTGCTCCAGCAGTGCGAGGTTTGGTGAAACAGTGCGCGCAATGTCAAACATATGTGTATATTTGTTATAGTTTGGTTAGGCTTAGTGGGGTACTCACTGTGGGGTACAACCCCTTAGGTTTCTCCTTTGTATCTTTCCCTTTCGATAGTCGACACACAACTTTCCCGTAAGATTCTAACATGGTATTAAGAGCTAGGACGTTCCTAGCCTAGGACGAATTTTTTTTTTAGGGCCCACCGTTAAACCTTCCGTGTTCCTGCCCGAATCTCGTTCTCTGCTTTTTTCTGCCTGAAATGCGCCCTTAGGTGCATCGATTTTCGCTGCCCCGCGGCCCTGCCCTGTCCTGTCGCGCGTAGCCAGCGAGCAGCCCGTACAGCCCCCGTCTGGCCTTCGCGCCGCCCGTACAGCCCGCGCCACGCCCGCGCGCGGCCCGTATAGCCTACGTTAGGCCCGTGCGCGGCCCGTACAGTCAGCGCTAGGCGTTAGCGCAGCCCGTACAGGCCGAGTGAGGCCCGAGAGCGGCCCGTACAGTCCGCGCTAGGCATTCGCGCAGCCCGTACAGGCCACGTCAGGCCCGCACGCGGCCAGTACAGCCCACGCCAGGCCTACACGCTGCACTGCGCCTGTGTTGCTGCTTCTACTTGCTGCCGCTGCTGCTACTTGCTGCAGCCGCCCCTGCAGCAGCCGCCCCTGGCCCCTGCAGCAGCCGCCCCTGGCCCCTAGAGCAGCCGCCACTGCAGCAGCCGCCCCTTGCCCCTGGAGCAGCCGCCCCTGGACCCAGAGCAGCCGCCCCTGGCCCCTGCAGCAGCCGCCCCTGGAGCAGCCGCCCCTGGACCCAGAGCAGCCGCCCCTGGCCCCTGCAGCAGCCGCCCCTTGAGCAGCCGCCCCTGGACCCTCGAGCAGCCGCCCCTGTACCCAGAGCAGCCGCCCCTGGCCCCTGCAGCAGCCGCCCCTGGAGCAGCCGCCCCTGGACCCAGAGCAGCCGCCCCTGGCCCCTGCAGCAGCCGCCCCTCGAGCAGCTGCCCCTGGACCCAGAGCAGCCGCCCCTGGCCCCTGAAGCAGCCGCCCCTGGTGCAGCCGCCCCTGGACCCTCGAGCAGCCGCCCCTGGACCCAGAGCAGCCGCCCCTGGCCCCTGCAGCAGCCGCCCCTGGAGCAGCCGCCCCTGGACCCAGAGCAGCCGCCCCTGGCCCCTGCAGCAGCCGCCCCTCGAGCAGCCGCCCCTGGACCCTCGAGCAGCCGCCCCTGGACCCAGAGCAGCCGCCCCTGGCCCCTGCAGCAGCCGCCCCTGGAGCAGCCGCCCCTGGACCCAGAGCAGCCGCCCCTGGCCCCTGCAGCAGCCGCCCCTCGAGCAGCCGCCCCTGGACCCAGAGCAGCCGCCCCTGGCCCCTGAAGCAGCCGTCCCTGGTGCAGCCGCCCCTGGACCCTCGAGCAGCCGCCCCTGGACCCAGAGCAGCCGCCCCTGGCCCCTGCAGCAGCCGCCCCTCGAGCAGCCGCCCCTGGACCCCGAGCAGCCGCCCCTGGCCCCTGAAGCAGCCGCCCCTGGTGCAGCCGCCGCTGGACCCTCGAGCAGCCGCCCCTGGACCCAGAGCAGCCGCCCCTGGCCCCTGAAGCAGCCGCCCCTGGTGCAGCCGCCCCTGGACCCAGAGCAGCCGCCCCTGGTGCAGCCGCCCCTGGATCCCGCGTCGCCGCCCCTGGACCCGCGACGCCGCCCCTGGACCCCGTGCAGCCGCCCGCCGAGCGCCGGCCCTGCTCGCCCGGCGAGCGCCTGCTCTACCCGACACTGGTGAGCACCTGCCTTGTTAGCGCGCTGCCGCGCCATCTGCCTGCCTGCCTGCCTGCCAGCCTGCCAGCCTGCCTGCCTGCCTGTCTGCCTGTCTGCCTGCCTGCCTGCCAGCCTGCCAGCCTGCCTGCCTGCCTGCCTGTCTACCTGTTTGCCTACCTACCTGCCTGCCTGCCTGTCTGCCTGCCGCGCCTGCGCTGCTAGGCTACTGCTACTGGTACTGGCGGTGGCCAGATGCAGCTCCAGCGACGTCCGCGCGAGTCTCTCACGCCCCAGCAGCTTCGTGAGTGGTACGCTAGTTGGGGTTGTGGCGGTAGTCGTCGTAGCTGTCGCCCTAGAGCTGGTCAGTTGGGAACGTCTGGCGGTGGCCGGCTGCAGCTGCAGCCGCGTCCACGCAAGGCACTTACGTCCCAGCAGCTTCACGAGTGGTACGCTCAGAGTAGAGGGTCTTTGAGTACCGTTCGCTGCCCGTACGTCATTCGCACAGGAGATCGGACGGGTCAGACTTGTGGGACGCTTAGTCACACCCAGTCCCGCTGCTTCACCCGTCTGAGTGACGCCTGGCGTACCGAGTTTGGCGACGAGGCTGAGCTCCCGACTGGGTGGAGCTGCTTGGGCAGAGGGTAGATATATATGCTCTTGACTATGCTGCTATTCTCACTGCTATGTATGCCTTGTCTGTTAGTGCTGAGGGTGACTGCTACTTGTGTGTGCCGCCGGATCCTGGTATAACCCCTGGTATAGCCCCTGCAGCACTAGGTGCTTGTGAGTCTGCTCCCCTTGGTACTGCGCCTGCACAGGCTTTGCACACCTTTACACTTGACTCTGGTGCTTCCCGCTGTTTCTTTCGCGACAGCACCACAGTCACTCCCCTCCCTGCACCTGTTCCTGTCTCACTGGCTGACCCCTCTGGGGGCCCAGTGCTTGCACGGTCTTCCACCGTGCTTCCGTGTCCGGCGGTCCCGTCTGGTGAGCTGTCTGGTCTCCACCTCCCCTCGTTCTCTACGAACTTGGTGAGTAACGCTGTCCTCCAGGATGCGGGGGTTGACACCTTCACCCCTGGCCGGCAGCGTGTGGCGATTTGCACGTGCTCCCAGACTGGTCGCCACCTGGCCACGTTTGCTCGTGCGCCGGGGTCCAGTCTGTACACCCTCACCACTGCGTCACGCTCCGCCCCTTTGTCTCCCCGGTTGCACGCGTCTGCTCAGGTAGCTACACAGTGTGAGTGTCGCCGGCTGTCGCACGACACTCTCCTGTGGCACCACCGCCTTGGTCACCCCTCCCTGCCTCGCCTACGCAGCATGCACTCCCGCCTCCTGGTTTCTGGGCTTCCCAGGTCTCTGCCTGCCCTCCCTCCCTTGCCTGCGCCGCCCTGCATTCCCTGCGTCGAGGGGCGGCAGCGCGCCGCTCCTCACTCCTCCTCGTTCCCTCCCACAGAGGCTCCACTGCAGACTCTCCACCTGGACGTGTGGGGCCCAGCCCGCGTCCGTGGACAGGGCCACGAGCGGTACTTCCTGCTGGTTGTCGACGACTACACGCGCTACACCACGGTCTTTCCCTTGCAGCGCAAGGGGGATGTCCCTGATGTTTTGATCCCCTGGATCCGCGCTACTCGTCTCCAGCTCCGCGAGCGGTTCCAGTCGGACTTTCCTGTCCTGCGTCTGCACTCTGACAGAGGTGGTGAGTTCTCCTCAGACCTCTTGGCAGCCTTCTGTGCGGAGCACGGCATCCGCCAGACTTTCACGCTTCCGGCCTCTCCTCAGCAGAATGGGGTTGCTGAGCGCCGCATTGGCTTAGTCATGGAGGTCGCTCGTACCTCCATGATCCATGCGGCTGCCCCCCATTTTCTGTGGCCGTTTGCGGTCCGGTACGCCGCGCATCAGCTCAACCTTTGGCCCCGTGTCTCCTTGCCGGAGACCTCGCCCACACTGCTGTGGACGGGGAAGGTTGGCGACGCGTCGCGTTTCCGGGTCTGGGGTGCTCGTGCCTTTGTCCGCGATACCACCGCGGACAAGCTCTCCCCTCGCGCCATTCCTTGCGTCTTCCTTGGCTTTGTCCCTGACGCGCCTGGCTGGCAGTTTTACGACCCCGCCTCGCGCCGTGTCTTTGCGTCTCAGGACGTCACCTTTGACGAGTCGGTCCCCTTTTACCGCCTCTTCCCCTACCGCACTGCTCCTCGCCCCCCCCCCGCCGCTCTTTCTTGCCCCAGGTCCTCCCCAGGTAGACCCCCTCCCCGCGCCAGGTCCTGCTCCTTCAGGTGTCTCTCAGGTAGACCCCCCTGCGCCTGCGCCTGTTGAGGTCACTGGTGACTCCGGTCCTGCTGCGAGTGGTGCTGTCCCTGGGGGTGCGGAGCTTGGGGGTGCTGAGTCTGGGGGCGCTGAGCGTGAGGGGCCTGGGGGTGCTGCGTCTGGAGGTGCTGCGTCTGGGGGTGCTGAGCCTGTGTGTGCGGAGCCTGGGGGTGCTGAGTCTGGGGGTGAGTCGCCTGAGGGTTTTGCGACTGCTTTTCCGCAGTCTCCTTGGAGTAGCCGTCTTCGTCCGCGTGTGCCCCTCACCTCCCAGCAGCTGCACGACTGGTACGGTCGCCGTCAGCGTCGCGCTTCTGCACCTCAGGGCTCTACTGCTGGGGGTTCTTCTGCTGGTGTCGCTGGTCCCGGCGGTGCTCGTACTGAGGGTACTGGAGCTGCTGGGGCTGGCGGTGTTGTGACTGAGGGTACTGGCGCTGCAGAGGGTGCTGGAGCTGCTGGAGGTACTGGAGCTGCTGGAGGTGCTGGCGGTGCTGGAGCTGCTGAGGGTACTGGAGCTACTAGCGGTGCTGGAGCTGCTGAGGGTACTGGAGCTGCTGGAGGTGCTGGACCTGCTGAGGGTCCTGGAGCTACTGGCGGTGCTGGAGCTGCTGGAGCTGCTGGAGGTGCTGGAGCTGCTAGAGGTGCTGGAGCTGCTGGTGCTGGTGGCACTGCTCAGCAGCGCCTGTTCTTCGCTCCGCCGTCTCCGTCGTCTCAGCCACCACCTGACTCTGCACTTCGTCAGGTTCTCAGTCTTCCCTCGTCTACTGGTCTTCCGTTACAGCCTGGCTCACCGCTGCCTGCTCCTTCTCCGTACACAGAGCAGACTAGGGGCCTTGCTGAGCGTCGTGAGCCTGCGTCGCGTCCTGTCTCACCTGTCCGTTCTGGTCGTTCCGGTCGTCGTGTTCCTCGTCAGCGGCAGCCGGCTGTCTCCGGCTCTCACCTTGTAGTTCGTCGTCCTTCCTCTCCTCCGCTGCGTGTTCCTCTGCCGTCTCCCCCTGCGTCCTCTCTGCCTGTCGTTGCTGACCCTGCGTCTGACCAGTTTCGTGCTGAGCACTCTACAGTCACGCGTCTGCTTGCCACTGTTGTCACTGACCCGTCGTTTGAGTCTGCTACTGTGTCTGCCTTAGTCGCTGAGCTTGTTGACTTTGCTGCTGCCTGTCGTCTCGACTACGCCGCCAGTCTTGTTGCTGAGTCTGAGTCTGTCTGTCCTCCATCCGTCGGGGGTGAGTGTGCTCTTGGCACGGACGTCCTTGAGGACAGACAGGAGGACCTTGAGTGTCTTGCAGCCGCTGCGCCTCATCTCGTATCCATGCTGCTTGCCCCTGAGGGAGACCCGGATGCACCAGACATCCCTACCCCACGCTCTTACGCTGAGGCGATCGCGGGTGAGTACTCCTCTCAGTGGCAGACAGCCATGGACGCAGAGATGGCATCCTAGAAGTCCACAGGCACCTACGTCGACGAGGTTCCCCCTCCTGGGGCGAACATTGTCAGTGGCATGTGGATTTTCAGGGTGAAGCGGCCGCCAGGTTCTCCGCCTGTCTTCAAGGCTCGGTACGTGGCTCGAGGCTTCAGTCAGCGAGAGGGAGTTGACTTCTTCCAGACCTTCTCCCCCACCCCGAAGATGACCACTCTTCGGGTGCTGCTGCACGTTGCCGCTCAGCATGACTACGAGCTTCACTCTCTTGACTTCAGCACGGCCTTCTTACAGGGTAGCCTGCACGAGGAGATTTGGCTGCGCCGCCCTCCTGGCTTCACTTGGTCGTTCCCTCCTGGTACCCAGTGGAGCCTCCGGCGGCCGGTCTACGGTCTCCGCCAGGCGCCACGTGAGTGGCACGACACACTGAGGACGACACTTGCGGCTCTTGGGTTTGCTCCGTCGACTGCTGACCCGTCGCTGTTTTTGCGCACCGACACTTCTCTGCCGCCGTTCTACGTTCTCGTGTACGTCGACGACTTGGTCTTTGCCACTGCTGACACTGAGGCTCTCGCCCTGGTGAAGTCGGAGCTGCAGAAGAGACACACGTGCACAGACCTGGGTGAACTGCGCAGCTACCTTGGCTTGCAGATCACCCGGGACAGAGCACGCCGCACCATCACACTGACTCAGTCACACATGGTGCAGCAGGTCCTTCAGCGCTTCGGTTTCACCTGGTCCTCAGCACAGGCCACTCCTCTGGCTACAGGTCACTCGCTCTCAGCTCCACCTTCGGACGAGTCCGTAGAGCCGAGTGGTCCTTACCCAGAGTTAGTGGGCTGCCTCATTTACCTGATGACTTGCACTCGTCCTGACCTTGCGTACCCTCTTGGCCTTCTGGCTCGCTACGTGGCTCCTGGTCGGCACCGAAAGGTGCACATGGATGCTGCCAAGAGGGTACTACGCTACTTGTGCAGTACATCGGGCATGGGGCTCGTGCTTGGAGGACGGGGTGACGTTGTCCTCACAGGTCACTCGGACGCCTCTTGTGTTGACGACCAGGCTACGCAGCGGTCGTCACAGGGTTACACCTTCAGCCTTGGTTCTGGTTCAGTTTCCTGGCGTTCTACACGTTCGTCTTCAGTTCTCGGCTCCAGCTGTGAGGCAGAGATCTACGCCACAGCCATGGCTGCACAGGAGCTGCGCTGGCTCACCTACCTGCTGACCGACTTGGGAGAGAGGCCTCGTTCTCCTCCATTTCTGTACGTCGACAACAAGGCCGCCATTGCCTTGTGTCAGGAGCACAGACTGGAGCACAGAACAAAGCACATCGCTCTCCGTTACTTTCTTGCTCGAGAGCTGCAGCAGCGTGGCCAGCTTCGTCTTACCTACGTGGCCACTCGGGCCAACACTGCTGATATATTCACCAAGGCGCTTCCGCCTGGTGATCATCAGCGTTTCTGCACTTTGTTAGGCCTTGTGCCCACTCTTCCTCACTTGCTGTAGGCCTTGTTTGTACCATGATTTATATGTATTCCTGCATGCTTGTTCTTGTAGGTAGATATCACTGTACTGTTGTTGTTACATATATATTTCTGCATGTGAACTGGCCTTGTGGCCTTCTTGCTTGTGCTCAGACTGCGTGGTGACGTTGTGATCCACCCTGAGCTTGCTTTGCACTTCTTGACTGGTCTTGTGACCCTCTGTTCTCCCCCACTTTGCCTATGGGGGTGTGTCAAACATATGTGTATATTTGTTATAGTTTGGTTAGGCTTAGTGGGGTACTCACTGTGGGGTACAACCCCTTAGGTTTCTCCTTTGTATCTTTCCCTTTCGATAGTCGACACACAACTTTCCCGTAAGATTCTAACACGCAAAGTTGGCGAAGCCCCGTTAGCAGTAACGGGCGAACAACGGTTGCGGCTGTACGCGGTGTTGACTGTCGCAGTAAGGAATAGCGAGAAATTTCCTTATAGTCAGATATTATTCTGAAATTGTATGTGTCAACGGTGAAAGGCATTGCAATGCAAAAAACTCGCTCTTGGTTGTTCCAACGGAGTCTAGTTATAATAAATAGTATTCTATATTATATTCACAAGTAAACTAGTGGCTGAACAAGGCCACGCTTGTACCAATGTTATCTACCCCCCTAGCTCCTGTCCACCTCTCAAACTACAGCTGTTTGGTAACTATATTAGAGATCATACAAGCCAACAAAGGCGGAGAGACCCCCACATACAGGATCCTCCAGTGTGCTGTATCTAGTCACTACTATATCTTGTATAGGAGTGGGATTGCTGCTCGTTGCATCCCCATTCCTGCTGCTGCGTTGTCTCCTGGCAACTACTATAACCACTCGCTGCTGCTGTATACTGAGTCTGGAATGTCGAAGCGACAGCGCGCTCCCTTCCATAATCAATGTTAATTCTCCTCCCCCCCCCCCTCCCTCCTCTACATCCTTCTTCCCAAATGTCCTTCCTCCTCCTTTCCCCTCTCCTCTTGCTCCCCCTATTCCTACTTAGGAATCTGTGATTGGTCCATGAGGTGTTGTGTCGTCATCATCAGCACCTCATCAAACCCCTTGGGCTTCCCAATGTTGAACCTCCTTAAATACCACGCCGCGTTAATCTTCTTCTGCGGCCCGGTCGCCCGTCTCGGGCAGCTCAAAACATTTGGCCGCTTCAGCCGAATATCCGACCAGAGTCTTAAACCCAGATCGTTCCGCTTGTAATTTCGGAACCCGGCGGAAGGAACCGAGCCCACCTTCACATGAGTGTGCTGGTTCAGTCTATGCATAGCCGGTAGCGTTTCGCAGTACTTATACTCAAGGCTATCCCGCGTCGTGTTAACAAGGATCAAATCTAGCTGGTTCTCCGTGGCCAGGCCGCTGCATTTGCCGGTTTGGGCGGCGGTCATGCCGCCTGGGGGGTTGCAGTTCTGCCCGTTGACTGCGCTCTCCTGACACACATTCTTCCACCACGGCCAGTACTGGTGGGGGAGGGAGCGAGAGAGAGTGAGAAGGAGGGAGAAAGAGGAGGGAGAAGGAGGGAGCGGGGAGGAGGGACGTTTAGGCCTTGCGCATGTTCTCCCAGTACAGCCCGGGGTCGTTCAGGCAGTTGTTCAAGGTGGGGTTGAGGGGCGGGCACTGCGACCGAGACAAGAAGCAATTCACCAAAGATCAAGGCTCACCTTTCTAAATGTGGGCGTATCGTAATAGGCCTTGCGCATGTTCTCCCAGTACAGGCCGGGGTCCTTGAGGCAGTTGTTCACGGTGGGGGTGAGACAGTCGCATGCAGCACACAGCAGCAATTTCGTACTCTTCTCTCCTCTCTCTTCTCCTCATCTCCTCTCTCTCACCTTTCTGAATGTGGGCGTGTCATAGTAAGCCTTGCGCATGTTCTCCCAGTAGAGCCCGGGGTCCTTGAGGCAGTTGTTCACGGTGGGCGTGAGGCACGTGCACCACCCCACTGCACCAATCTGCCCCTTCATCACCACGTCTTTGATGACGTTCCTGTACCGAGGGGGTGGGGGTGGGGGTGGGGGGTTGTACGGGGGGAAAGGGTGGGACGGAAAGATTCTGGATGAGGGGTAGTGCTTGTCTCTTTTTCCTTAGAATTCTGAATAAGAAAAGCTTAAAGCCCACCATCTTCCCTGGTAAGAAGGGGTACATAACTGAGCTTACCTTTTGCCGTTGTTGACTTTAATCCCGTCGTACGTGTTGATACACGCGCCGCCGCGGATGCGCACGTCCGACGTGTCATAGTCCAAATAGTAGCAATGATCGCCATTAAAGACGTAGTTACACTGCGCCACGTTCCCCGGGTTGAACCAGTGCGTGCAGTAGTAGATCCCCGCCGCGTCGTGATCCCCGTTAGTGTTGCGTCCTTTAGCGACTACAAGGTTGTTGGATACATTCGTCATCATGCAGTCGCCCGCGAAGTGCACGTCCGCGCCGCACCGGATTCCAGCGAAGATGAAATCGTGCACGTAGTTGCGAAACACTTTCACGCCCACCGCGCCTCGATATAAGACGATCGGGGTGTCCACACCTGCACGCGTGTAACGGGGATGGTCGGGGGAGGAGCAAAATGTTTGGCAGTAGCAAAAGGCGAAGAAGATGAGGAGAGAACTAGGAGGAATTTCGAAGCACTACTAGGAAACTAGACGAGCTTCCTGCGAGCCAGTGCAACGCGTTGAGCACGTTTCATAAGAACACCATGTGCACTTACCATACGCCTCGTTATTGGATATAGCGATGTTCGCCTTGATAAGCTTCGTGCTGTGTCCGCTGTACGCCACGCGAATGACCCCGTGCGAACTGGCGAAAGTCGGGGTGCCGGTAACTTTGATGCTGTCGACTCTCGAATTCATGCTCCTGTGAACGTCCACGCGTCCGAACACTGTAGACTTGCCGAAGATGACACCGTACGACCGGGAGATGTGTACGGCGGGACAGTTGACCCCGGTACCAACCTCGGGTACGTTCGGGCACTGGGGCGAGGCGGCCGTGACTGCAACGAGGAAATTGATGCCGTATACAAGCACGTTGCTCGTGTTCCAGATGCGAAGCGTCGGCATATCGTCGTCGTTATATTTGATGTACAGATTGGGTTTGTCCGCGGTTAGAATGGTGCAGGAGAAATCCCCGTCAAAGAGCAACCCGCTTCCTTGACTGAGCAGCAGGCTGTTCTGCAGCATAAGCACGACGGTTTGGTTACGGCCCTGCTGTTTCCGCTTCTGAAAATCGGAGGCAGTCTTTATCAGGATAGTGACGTTGCTTTTAACGGGGGTGCAGGAGCCCTTGGGGTGTGATCCCTCTGCACAGGCAGAAACAAGGTCAGGCGTGCCGCGGGGGGGGAGGGGGAGAGAGGGAAACAAGAGGGAGAGACGAAGGAGATAGAGGGAAAGGGGAAGGAGAAGCGGAGGAAGTAGGGAGAGGGGAACGGGAAGGCCGGAGTGGAAGGGGGGCGGGCAAGAATAGGAGAGAAGGGGAAGAAAGAGGGCGGGAGGAAGCGGGATCAGAAATAAGATGTCAGAGATTTGACTCTGGCCTTACGTTTGAGCCATTCCTCATCACCCTCTAGGTCAGTACTTTCCTCTTCCTCGTCATCCTCCACACCTCTAAACTCCGCCATGTTTCGAGTTGTTCGAGACAACGTGCGCGATCCTCCGTACGAAGAATCTAGCAGTGTGCAAAGCGAGTGAGTCTCGACACGGCGGAAAGGATAGGGAGAAAGATTCGAGCAGAAATTGCACCATTTGCGGCACAGTGGAGGCGCGCATGCGTATGACGAAGCGAGGTGACACACCGATAGAGGCGCGCTTGCGGCTACCGATGCAAAGCTTGGGATTGCCAAAGGGGAGGCACGCACTTGCTTGCGCAGAGACCGCGGAGAGCGCAACGCATAGCGCGAGTAGCGCTACGGCAAGTGCGGGTCGTATCCGGGAAAGCTCCATTTGAAGGTGCGGGTCGTATCCACGCGTAACGCGCGGCCGTTATTGGACACCCTCTTCCGTGACCCGTTCTCGACGACCCTTGATTCTCGGTATGCAGCTTATGAATCGATGGAGAAATGGCTGGAATGATCGGGCAAGTGCGATTGCTGGTCCTAACTCGTCAGCCTCGATATTAGCTGATGAGAGGTGGATCTACGTCTAGCCGCACTGTCCAGCAGGCCCTCACTCGTCAGCCAAAACCTTGAAATCTTCGGAATACTGTACTTAGTTCAAACAACGAGAAGGAGGATGAGCTTTATACCAAGACCAAGTGCCGTTTTTCGTCTTCGTTACGATATGTCAACTACCGACTTTTAGATTCCGATGACGGCGTGTTGCTGCGGTTGCCAAATCAGTTAGTGAGTGGTCATTCGTGGTGTGCCGAATTCGAGGGGTGGGTGTGGCAAACAACAGCTACATCGGAAGGGCGCAAATTAATTTCGGTCAAAAAGGGCTTAAAGGGGGAAGAGTGAGGAGTGGACGGGGAGAGGGAAGACTGGAGAAGTGCAGGGCTGGAAGGAGGAGAAACGAATTTCCGAAGAGCGAAATGTCGAATTTCTTGGAAACATTGGCGAGTCGCGATGACGCACCGGCGAAGCGCGCGAGCGGGAGCATTGAGGCTTGTCGCTCAGTTCTGTTTGCGACAGCAGTTCATGGGTGAGTGCCGAAATTGAAGTTTCGTCGGTACTTCATTTTCCCGTTTACAGAGACGGTGCGACCTTGGGGAGGGGTATTGCGACGGAATGCGACTGCGATGTCAGCACCAACGGTTGTGGAAGCGGGAATGGGATGGACGAAGTCATGCCGTCGTGTGGTATACATTGCCGACGAGAATGGAGACCTTTCGCGAACGTCATTTCCACACGTGTGACTACAATAGATGTCGGTCAACTCGTTATCTTGTATTATTATGGTCAAATATACAGAGAGCCAAGGTCCATATGTGAGTTTCTCCTCAATTTCCTCATTAGGACGCCTACACCTTCTAGTTTGCTGCCCAATTTCTTCACACCCCTTAATCTTGGCAAGGTGCTGTTTCTGCTCTCGATTGCTCATTCTCGAAAGATCTGAATCTCCTAAACCTTTCTCAGTAGCCTTCATGGTGCCACAACACGCCTTGAACTTCTTTTTCGAGCCACAATGGCATGGCTTGTTGCGACCTTGAACCTGATGGCCCTGCATTATTCATATCAGACAGGAGAACGATACAAAGAATTCGCTAAGTGAGCAACGCATCAGTGCCTGCTGCATGAACTACGGACTGCAGGAAAATGAAACCTGAGTCTCGACTTACTGGCCTTGATGCCACAGACTTCAGAGAGGCAGGAGGAACAGAGGCAGCAAGAGCACCAGTTGCATGTGCATTGACAACAGGCGCATCAGCAGGCACAGCAGCAGCAGCACACGCCTGCATGTTACCACTGCTGCTTCCACCTGCAGCAGCATTTGCTTCCACTCCTGCTAATGCTGCATGTGCTACAGGTGAGGCCGCTTGCTGATGCTCACTGCACAAAGAATTGGGAACAGCTTTGCCTGGAATTGCTGCAGCCTCCGGTGTTGCGAATGGTTTGCTTGTAATAGGTGTGGCTGCATCAAGCGACGATGCTGTTTCGGATGGTGCAGTTGCTGTGGGGAGTGGTGCTGCTGTGGATGCTGATGCTACTGATGCTGATGCAGCATCAAGGCTACCAGCTGCTGGTGCTGCTGGTACTGGTGCAGTTGCTGGTGCTGTTGCTGGTGCTGTTGCTGGTGCTGCTGGTACTGGTGCAGTTGCTGGTGTTTCTGCTTGCACTGGACCCAGAGAGACTGAGGATGAGGTGAGTGGTGCTGCATGCTCTGCATCGCCACGTGGCGTTGTCTCATTGGATAGAACGGCGATGAGGTACTCTATGGCTGCGTCCACGTCACCTGACAGGTCATCCAGGGTCTGCCACGTGGAACGAGGGGAGAGAGTGGATGGTAAACAGGCAGAAAATCCTCTGGCCAGCGAACACAGCAGCTACAGCCTAAACAATTTTCCAGATTTCTCTACAAGTTACGCGAAAGAGAGCGGGAAGAGGCGACAAATCACCTGAAAGATTCTTGCAGATCCTCGGACATTTTGCTCAAGCCTGAACCTAAGCACCGCTGCTCACTGGAATATGTCCGAGGATCGGCGACAAATCACCTGAAGGATTCTTTGCTGGTCATGGCAGCCGGTGGAGGACATGACCAGCTTCACCGCCCCTTCATCCACACTTGATGCTGCTGACCCAGGGACCGATGCTGCAGGTGCAGATGACCCTGCTTGTGAGGCTTGGCCCTTGCCATTGCCACCGCTACCCTGAACAAAACAAGGTTGGCGTGGAGGTAGTGGTGAAGAGGCACGGTCAGGTGCAGGTCGTTTTCTAGCATTCTATAATAAAGCACCTGGATTAGAAAAAGAGAGGCATTGAGGTGAATTGCTGAGGAGTGGGCAGGCGAGAGGCAAGGGGCTAATGGTGAACCAGAATGGTGATTGGTTGAGCTGGTGTAGATTCAACGTCCCCTTCCATGCGCACGCTGTTGTAGTGATCCCCGTCGTGGTATGAGCTGTGGAGCGGTAGAGGAGAAGAAGGGGAGTGAGAGGGATTGGGGTTACCATGGTTGCGTTTCAGAGGCCCAGCACCCCTCTCATTCCACACGCTGTTGTAGTGATCCCCGTCGTGGTATGAGCTGTGGAAGGGGGGTGGAAGAGAGGAGAGGGGGAGAGCACGAATGTGGCTACATGGGGTGGGATGCACTTCAGAAACCCAACGTCCCCTTCCATACGCACGCTGCTGTAGTGACCCCCGTCGTGGTAGGAGCTGTGGGGGAGGGGAGGAGAATCAAAGGGGGGGACGAGAGAGATCGTGGTTACTCTGGTCTGGATGAGGCTCAGCGACCACCTACAGCTCATCCCCTTCCATGTGCATGCTGTTGTAGTGATCCCCGTCGTGGTACGATCTTTGGTAGGGAGTGTGGAGGAGAGTAGAGGGGGGAGAGAGAGGAAAGGTGGTTGCTACGGTTGTGTTTCAGCGACCCAACATCCCCTTTCAAGAGCTGCTATATAAGCATGGAGCCAGAGAGGGCACGAAGGATGTGGAGTGGAAGACTACAACGGGGAAAAAAGATTCAAAGTAAAGAAAAGGAAGAAGTATCAAGGATTCAAAGCATGACAGTGAGGAACCGATTTAACGAAAGGTTTGGTGTTGTGATGGCTCACAGGTGGATGGTGGAAGTGTTGGCATCGTCAAAGTTGACTATGTTCCACCGGGGCTGCTGCAACTGAAAAAGATGGAGTTGAGGAGACACACAAGTTAAGTCATGTGACTTTTGAGAAGCCTTAAGCGATTTTTGAGGTGCCTCAAGATCTTTAACTGCCTATTTATTGTTTCTGACAGTTCTGCTGGAAACAAAAGGGTGGATACGAAGACACACACGAGTCGTAAGTGTTGCGATGAAATGATGGCTGCAACAACACACAACATTGACGAGTGCAATAAAAAAACGGGTGAATGAAACAAAACATGGTTGAGAGAGGGACTCGAAACACTCTCCAAGTGATGCATGCAATGTAACCAGATTCTTACGCCATGCACCTAACGCTCTTACACAGTGCATTCAATCAATTTGCCTAGCTGTCTTACTCACCTGGTGAATGCAAATGTTTCATTTCAGCAGCAGGGAAATTGCCTGCAGCTCCATGTGCCCCACCACGCCCGCTCCACCTCCCACTTTCCAATCATCGTTAAAGCACCTCACCTGGTGAATGCAAATGTTTCTTTTCAGCAGCAGGGAAACTGCCTGCAGCTCCATGTGCCCGCCCCACGTGCCGTCCTCGCGCATGCTGCTGCAGTACTCCTTAAAGCCCATGTCGTCCTCCACAAACGGGGCGAAGTCGGTTTCGTGTGCCTGGTATGGAGGGGTAGGGAGGGAGGGACACACGACATACTGCTGCAGTACTGCTTAATGCCCATGTCATCCTCCACAAATGGGGCGAAGTCTGCCTCGTGTGCCTGGTAGCGGCATAGGGAAGGGTAGGGAGGGGTAGGGAGGGGTAGGGAGGGGTAGGGAGGGAGAGACACAAGGTATGCTGCTGCAGTACTCATTAAAACCCATGTCATCCTCCACAAACGGGGCAAAGTCGGTTTCGTGTACCTGGTATGGAGGGGTAGGGAGGGAGGGACACACGACATACTGCTGCAGTACTGCTTAATGCCCATGTCGTCCTCCACAAAGGAGGCAAAGTTAGCCTAGTGTGCCTGGCATTGGGTTAAAGCTCAAGGCCCAAATTGCGAAGCGCGTGGGGCACGATTACTATTCTTGCACACTTCGCACTTTTTGTGCTGTCTCTTCGTGTGAAGCAATCTGATTGGTTACAAAAGGTTTAGAAGCATTCTGATTGGTTACAGAAGGTTTAGAAGCAATCTGATTGGTTACAGTGCAAGTTTCTCAACTCTGCAATTTGGGACTCTCGGTCCCTAAACATACGGTGCCCCTAGGACTTCGCGTTCACCAACCCCACCCCCAGCAAGGTGACTTTTGAGTCGACTCAAAAGTCAGCACCCAACTTTGCACAAGATTACTAATCTTGTGCAATTTGGGCCTTGAGCTTTAAGAGGCGGTAGGGAGGGGTAGGGAGGGTTACGGAGAGGTAGGGAGGGAGAGACACAAGGCATGCTGCTGCAGTGCTCCTTAAAGCCCATGTCGTCCTCTACGCGGGGCAATGTCAGCCTTCATTTTAGGAATAATTGGATTGTACGCACGAGGGGCACAGAAACCATTCACTCCTTCCTCACCTCTATGTAGTCAACCACTTGTTGCCTCAGCTCCACGTGCTCGGCCTGGTCGCAAAACTATTTCTCGAGGCGCCTCACAAAAGGATCTTACGCACAGAAACTACTCACTGCTTACCTCAATGTAGTCGACCACTTGCTGCCTGAGCCCCACGTGCTGGCCTGGACCCGGCTACACTACATCTCAGTTAAATCTGAGATCTCTTAAAAGAGATTCACTAATTACCTCAATGTACTCCACCACTTGCTGCCTGAGCTCCACGTGCTTGGCCTGGTTCCCAAACACGTGATCCGACACTGCTCTGGGGTTTCGAAAACAATGGTGGGGAGAGAGGGGAAGAATTGATGCGAGAGGCTCGTACTCTTGACTTGACAGTGAAGAAAAGCAAGCCACAGATGGGAGTTGAGGGGGAGGGGGGGGGCGGGGGGAAAGGGGAAACGAGATTGAAGGAAGGTAGCGTTGCAGCGAAGACGGGAGGAAAAAACTGAAGAAGCGATTCCCATTGCAACGAAGAGTGATTCCCATTGCAATGATGAGCGATTTTTATTGCACTGATGCATTTTGAGTCAACTCAAAAGTGGACCTGAAGAAGCAGTTTCTGTCTGCACTGGCTTCCCGAATGCACAGCCCCAACACCCTCAGCTGCTCCCACACGCCCCCGCCTCCTTTGAGGTGGTTTTTGAGACGTCCTAAAAACCACCTCAATGCACAGGGAAGTTAGGAGCAACAACCTGAAGAAGCAGTTTCCGTCCGCACTGACTTCCTGAATGCACAGCCCCAACACCCTCAGCTGCTCCCACACGCTTCCCCCTCCCCCCTTGTACGTGCCCCTCCCCTCCTTCCCCTTCCTCCTCTTGGCGTTGGCGTTCCCTCTGCCTTTCTTTCCCTTGCCGTCTCTGCTGCCTGCCTCTGCGCTCGAGGTCTGGATGGGCGGGGTGGAAAGACTAGGAAGAGGAGGCAATAAGGATGATATGAGTAGGCAGCAATGCGACAGAGGCTCTTCCCTCTTTTCTGCCTTTCTTTCCCTTGCCGTCTCTGCTGCCTGCCTCGGCGCTCGAGGTCTGGATGGGACGGAGTGGAAAGACGAGGAAGAAATACTGTGGGGAGGAAACTGTGAGGAGGAAACTGTGAGGAGGAAACTGTGAGGAGGAAACTGTGGGGGGGAAACTGTGGGAGGGAAAATGTGGGAAGGAAACTGTGAGGAGGAAACTGTGGGGAGGTTAGGCTGTGGGGGGGAGGTTTGAATGTGGGAAGGCTATGCTAAGAGAGCAGAGTTGACTTTTGAGTCGACACAAAAGTCAACCCTGCTAGGCTGGTCTGAGAGGGCTATGAGAAGGAGGTTGTGACTAAGCCTGACTAAGTTTGCAGCTCGCTGAGAATTATGTCACAAGACTGATGGGCTATGAGGAGGAGGTTGTGACTAAGCCTGACTAAGTTTGCAGCTCGCTGAGAATTATGTCACAAGACTGATGGGCTATGAGGAGGAGGTTGCGACTAAGCCTGACTAAGTTTGCGGCTCGCTGAGAATTATGTCACAAGACTGATGGGCTATGAGGAGGAGGTTGTGACTAAGCCTGACTAAGTTTGCAGCTCGCTGAGAATTATGTCACAAGACTGATGGGCTATGAGGAGGAGGTTGTGACTAAGCCTGACTAAGTTTGCAGCTCGCTGAGAAATATGTCACAAGACTGATGGGCTATGAGGAGGAGGTGGTGAAGAATCTGTACTGGACTGACAAGCATGACGGTCGAGCATTGACCTTCCCTCTCCATCTCGTCCTCCCCCCGGCACCCTCTCTCCCTCTCCTCATCTCCCTGAAAAGTAATTTCAAAAGTATTTCCATCTGGACCTCCCCTCGGCACCCCTCTCTCCCCCTCTCCTCATCTCCCTGATAATATCTCTCCCTCTCCACCCCTCCCCTCTCTCCCCATCTCCCTTACCTCCTCCGCATCATTGTTCTTCTCTCCGCCTTCTCTGATAAGTATAGCAATAAAGCACCCCTCTCCGGCACGTCCTCCCCTCTCCACCCCTCTTCTCTCTCCCCATTTCCCTTACCTCCTCCGCATCATTGTTCTCTGCCTCCTCCACTTCCCTTCACCGTTCTCCCCACTCCCTCATCTCCCTTACCTCCTCCGTCCCATTGTTCTTCGCTCCCTCTCCGCCTTCCCCGCCGTTTCTTCCGCCGCTTCCTCCGCGGCCCTTGGCTGCTTTGCCGCCCTTGCCGACCTTCACCGAGCCTCCCACCTTCCTCCCCATAAGAACTAAATCCCTCGGTTTAAGCTTGTACGAACCAAAATCCTCGGCATAGGCTTCTACAAACGGAGCTGCTCGGTATAAGATTGAACGAACCGAAGCAACATGTTACCTCGAGTATCTAGCATGCTTCTTATTCCTTCCGTACACAGAACAATTTCAAAACCTCCGCTCTCAGAATCCCGCCGCGACAACAGCTCAGCACCCAGAATTCGCGCATGACAAATGCGCTGCTGAGACAAAACCTGAGCACCGACTTCCGCTCCTTCACACCGCGCCGCGTTCCTGAGAGGCAATCTGGAGGTAGGGAGTCCTCTTCGTCGCGAGTGAATTCGACGTTACTCGAGGTCTTAGCAGTTCACGCATTCCGTCCCTAGATTCACTCAGACCGGAACTTGCTCGAGAGCTAGACTGATGGGAGTGGGTAGGACCAAGTCAGAGAATGTTCCTAAACTGGACCAGCGCGGGGGACTGACTGAATCCGTCAATTTATGTTCTAGTCCGTTGTGTCTGGTAGCCAGCGGTGAGAATCCCAAGGAACACGGTGCAAACAGGTATGGGTGTACTGTTTTTGCAGGAACGAGTAGTTAGGGCACGTATATATATACTTATATATGGCAGAAAATACAAGTAGATAAATGAAATGGAATTATCAGTTGGTAAGACAGCCCAATGTCTCAAAATAAGGACCTATCATGAAGGTGCGTCAAGTTCATCGCTAGAATAAAATCAAAGTAGTCCGGCTTCGGAATATTAAAAGCACTCTTGTACTCCTCTCTGGTGATCACTTTCATACCCGCCAAACCCTTCCGGCAACTCTTGAATTGCGGCCGCCATTGATAAATCGGCGACCACGACTCAATCGCCAGATCGTGCCGCTTGTAGTTCCGAAACCCCATCTTCCGCAGCACCTTTAACGAGCTCGTCGTGATATTGATCATCTTATGCGTGTGAACTTCGGCATCACCGGAATCTTCTCGCAATATTTGTAATCGAGGCTCCTCTTAGTCATGTTGACCACGACCAGGTCAAGATAATTCTCAGTGCCGAGCCCGCTACAGTTGCCAGTCAAATAAGCTGCCATGGAACCTGGAGGGTTGCAGCTGACACCATTGATGGATGTGTCTTTACACACGCTGGGCCACCAGGGCCAGAGCTGAGGACAGTAAGGAGGGGCGGAGGGGAAGGGAGGAAAGAGAGAAGAGCAGGGAGGGTTACAGTTGCAGCTTGCACCGTTGATGGGCGTGTCTTGACACACAATGCGCCACCAGGGCCAGAGCTGATGGGGAGGCGAGGGGGCAAAGGGAGAGACGTATGGGGATAGGCAGGGGATGTGAAAGGACTGATTCGCATGTTTTCCCAATACGTGCTTGTTTGCTCGTTCAGCTTGTTTGCTCGTTCAGCTTGTTTGCTCGTTCAGCTTGTTTGCTCGTTCAGCTTGTTTGCTTGTTTGCTTGTTTGCTTGTTTGCTTGTTTGCTTGTTTGCTTGTTCAATCCATGCATGCTGTGTAAACCACTCACCCTGCGGAACAGCTCGGTGCCCAATCAGTCTCTTGACGTATTTCCTATCTTGTGCTGCGGGTCGAAGGGCTTGCCAGATGACTCGAGGGGCGACCTGTCGGTCGCAGTCATTGCGCCTTGCAATCGTGCTGATCTAGACGACCAGTGAGTAAGTACCGCATCGCGCGGTGGGTTAGCCAACGCGCCAGCTACATTCCTTCCTTAGGCGACAATTGTCCGCAGCTCATACCGCCTAGCCTCCCAGTACGTGCCGAGGCCCCTGTTTGCTTGATTGGAGTGTTGCTGACTTTGTGCAGGCATGCAAGCTCTAGGAAGAAACTCACCGAGCGAAAGAGCTCCATGCCGTGGTACTTGAGGCACATGTTCTCCCAGTACCCGCCTGCTTGGTTGCTTGACTGAGGTGTTGCTTGCTGGTTTGTTTGCGTCATGCAGGCATGCAAGCTCTAAGAGGCCACTCACCGAGCGAAAGAGCTCCGTGTCATAGTATTTGAGCCGCATGGCCTCCCAGTATGTGCCGGGGTCCTTGCGGCAGTTGTTGACGGTGGGTGTGAAGCACGTGCACCACCCCGGCATGCCCTCCACGTTCTTCAGAATCACATGCTTTATCACGTTGCTGAGGGGTTGAGAAGCGAAAGGAAATGGAGAGTGCATGTGTGGGTGGGAGGGCGGGGGAGGGGGGAGGGGGAGGGAGAGAAGGGGGGATGAAGAACGGCGCTACATTGTTCTCCCTCCTCTGCCTGAACGCAATGAGCAAGAGGGTGGGCGGTCCTTGCGGCAGTTGTTGACGGTGGGTGTGAAGCACATGCAGCACCCCGGCATGCCCTCCACGTTCTTTAAGATAATGTGCTTTAATACGTTGCAACAGAACCAAGAGGTTGAGAAATTGAGAGGCGAGTCAGGAGGGGGTAACGAGGGAGGTGAGAGAGGGGAGGGGGACGAGGGGGGGGAAGGGAGCGGTGAGTAGGGGGCTGCTGTATGCGTTGTTGTTCCGCACTCACAGCTTGCCGTTGTTGACTTTGATCCCATCATACGTGTTGATGCATGCACCCAATAGCACGACGTTACTATGGATAATATCAACTAGGGACCCACCAACCCTTACTCACAGCTTGCCATTGTTGACTTTGAATGGCATCTTTCGTGTTGATGCATGCACCCAGAGTAGTTAACATGCAAACAACGGCACACTGCCATGTTGACTTCGGCTGCCATAACACACACCTGTTTCCATCGCACTCACAGCTTGCCGTTCTTGACTTTGATGCCATCACACGTGTTGATGCACACACCCAATACCACGACGCTAATATGCAAGATATCAACCAGGAGCCCACCAACCCTTCCTTACAGCTTCCCATTGTTGACTTTGATGCCATCGTACGTGTTGATGCACGCACCCCCACGGATCACTACACCAGACGTCACATAGTCCAGGTAGTAGCAGTGATCGCCCCCTGCCACGTAGTTGCACTCTGCAACATTCCCTGCGATTTGGACATGTACAGAGGATGGAAGGGTGTAAAGGGGTTAAGAAGGGGAAGAAGGGGTTGAGTGGTCAAGGGAGTTAGGTCAGGATCACAACACCCAAAGTTACGAAGTCCAGGTAGTAGCAGTGCTCTCCCCCTGCCACATAGTTGCACTCTTCCACATTCCCTGCAATGTGAGGGGTTGTGAGCAGATACGAGGGGATGTAGGGGGGTTGAGGTGGGTTAGCAAGTTAGCACCCGGTGTCACATAGTCGAGGTAGTAGCAGTGGTCTCCCCCTGCCACGTAGTTGCACTCTGCCACGTTGCCTGCAAGACGTTTCAAAGGAAGGAAGTGGATAAATGAGGGAAATTGAGTGGGATTCAGGTGGATTGAAGGGGATTGAGAGGGATCCCTGCAGAGTCTACATCCCCCAAGCTGTTCCTCCGCCGGTTGAACACGATGTTGTATGAGATGTTGCTCAGCATGCAGTCGCCCTTCTCTCCCACTCCACTCCCTACCGACCAAACCACTACCATTCCCCACAGCCATACACAACCACCCACCAGGGCTGAACCAGTGCGTGCAGAAGTAGATCCCTGCCGAATCCGCATCCCCTGACGAATTCCGCCGCCAGTTGTAAACGATGTTATTGGAAATGTTGCTCAGCATGCAGTCGCCTGCAAAGTGCACGTCCGCGCCGCACCGGATGCCCGCAAACCCAAAGTCATGCACGAAATTGTTGATCACGGCTACACCCACGGCGCCCCAGTGCATCACAATGGGTGTATCGACTCCTGTAAGGACGCAAGAGAGGATGGAGAAAATTCGAGGGCGGAGAGAGAAAAAAGAACAGGAGGGGTGAGGGAGAGGATGAGTGCATGCTCGCTGCTTTTGAGGTGCCTCTGAGGCAAAGTGCACGTCCGCGCCGCACCGGATGCCTGCAAACCCAAAGTCATGGACGAAATTGTTGATCACTGTTACACCCACCGCTCCCCAGTGCATCACAATGGGTGTATCCACGCCTGAGAAAATGGGGGAAGCGCAAGGGCAGAGAGGGGAGAATTGGAAGGGGTGAGAGAGAGGACGAGTGCTCGTCGGCGCCACATCCTTTAAAGTGCCTCGGACGCAAAGTGCACGTCTGCGCCGCACCGGATGCCCGCGAAGCCAAAGCAGTTAAATCGTGTGCAGGTACATAAACAGCCATGCACGATGTTGTTCACCACTGTCCCGATGGCTATGTTCGCCCTGGGGAGAGTGGGGAGAGTGGGTCCCTCCCTGGTCAACAGTGGTCGGCCTGATTGCTATGCCACTGCGAGGTGGCAATCCCACACCAACACCACTCACCATACGCCTCGTTCTTCGAGATATAAGTGTTTGCCTGCACCAGCTCAGGCCCGTACCCACTCACCATGATGCGAGGGGCCCATCAACATCACTCACCATGATGCGAGGGGCCCATCAACATCACTCACCATGATGCGAGGGGCCCATCAACATCACTCACCATGATGCGAGGGGCCCATCAACATCACTCACCATGATGCGAGGGGCCCATCAACATCACTCACCATGATGCGAGGGGCCCATCAACATCACTCACCATGATGCGAGGGGCCCATCAACATCACTCACCATGATGCGAGGGGCCCATCAACATCACTCACCATGATGCGAGGGGCCCATCAGCATCACTCACCATGATGCGAGGGGCCCATCAGCATCACTCACCATGATGCGAGGGGCCCATCAACATCACTCACCATGATGCGAGGGGCCCATCAACATCACTCACCATATGCCTCATGATCTGAGATATCATGCACCAGCTCGGGCCCGTACCCGCTCTCCACAATGCAGCACAGCATACTTGCTACGCTTAAGGGGGCACACCACACCGCACCACTCTCCACCACTCACCGTATGCTTCATTATTCGAGATCACTATATTCGATCGCACCAGCTCCGGTCCGTACCCGCTCTCCCCGATGCGGATAGCCCCGGGCGAGTTGACAAAGCGGTAGGTGGCGGTGACACTCATGCCATCCACCCGTGCTTGCATGCTGCGAAACACGTCTATGCGCCCAAACACCTCGCCCTGGTGGGGGGGGGGGAGAGGGCGGGTGGGGGTGGTGGAGGGGAATGGTGAGTGGGTGAAAGGGGAGGGGAGAGGGGGTTATGTTGGGTGGGGCGAGTTGACAAAGCGGTAGGGGCCGGTGACACTCATGCCATCCACCCGCGCTTGTATGCTGCGAAACACGTCTATGCGCCCAAACACCTCGCCCTGGGGGGGTAGGAGGGTGGGGAAGAGGGGGAGGGGAGGGTGGAGGAGAAGGGTGAGTGGGTGAGAAGGAGGGGATTTGAGACGTGCGGCGGCAAGTTGACAAAGCGGTAGGTGGCGGTGACACTCATGCCATCCACGCGCGCCTGCATGCTGCGAAACACGTCTATGCGCCCAAACACCTCGCCCTGGGGGGGGTGAGGGAGAGGGGAGGGAACCAGGAAGGGTGAATGGGAAGGAGGGGAGAGGGGGTGTGTGGGGGGGAGGTGAGTTGACAAAGTGATACATGCTGGTGACGCTCATTCACCTTGGCCACTTGAACGCCGTAGGGGAGGTGGGGAAAAGAGGAAGGGTGAATGGGTGGAAGGGCGGGGATAGGGGGGTCTGCAGGCGAGTTGACAAAGTGATACGTGCTGGTGACGCTCATTTACCTTGGCCACTTGAACGCCGTAGCTCCGCCAGATGTGTATAGCGGGGCACAACATGCCCTTGCCCACTTCTGTGAAGGAGCATAGGCGCGAGCTGGACTTGACGGGCAGGTATTCCAGGCATCTCGGGGCTTACCTTTGCGACTTGCACGCCGTAGCTCCGCCAGATGTGGATGGCCGGGCACAGCATGCCCTTGCCGACCTCAGTGAAGGAGCAGAGGCGTGAGCTGGACTTGACGGGCAGGTAGAAATTAACGTCCATCACGATCACGTTGTGCGTGTTCCAGATGCGCAGCACGGGCTGCAGGGCGTTTGTCAGCTTGATGTAACTGTAACAGGGTAACAGGGTAATGGGGTTGGGGAGTGTGATATGATGTGTGATATGCACGGCATCAGCACATTGACGGGCAGGTAGAAACTAATGTCCATGACGATCACGTTGTGCGTGTTCCAGGTGCGCAGCACGGGCTGCATGGCATGGGTGAGCTTAATGTAACTGTGACGGGGCGACGAGATGATGGGATGATGGGATGATGGGATGGTGGGGCGGGAGTAACGGGATGGGTAACGGGGTAGGTAACGGGGAAGCAGGGTAACAAATTACGGAGTGTTCTAGATGCGCAGCATGGTTGCATAGCGTGGGTGAGCTTGATGTAACTGTCACGCGGCGACGGGATGACGGGATGATGTGGAGGGAGAAACGGGATGGGTAACGGGTTGGATAATGAGGTAACAGGTAGCGAGATAGGGAGGCACTGGCGTATGGAATGAATAAGGAGGAGAGTCATAATGAGAGTCATGATGAGAGTCCACACTACCTTCTCTGCGCCGGCTTCTTGCTTCGCAGGATCGTGCACGAGTAGTTTCCGTCGAACAGAAGACCCGTACTTGCGATGAACCCGGGTGGAAGCAGCACCAGCATCACGGTCTGAGTCGGCGCGAAATTCAATCGCTTCGCGACGTCCGCGTACGACTTAATCCGTATCACCTTCGCCGTTTCCAGCGGGCTGCACGGCCCTGTCACCTGCTGCTGCCGCCTACGCTGCTCCTGCCGAAGCACCCGCTGCCTCTCGAATGCTAAAGCCGCGTTAAGAGACACCTCGCTAGGGTGCACGTACTCGGGTGTAGGAGCAACGGGAGCCCACGCTCGCTGCGTTCCTATTCTAGTGCTAATTCCGCTCGGGTTTCTGCTTCTAGGAACCTTCCAGGATCTTGGATGATTTTTGTTACGAAAAGTTGCGGGTGAGGGTCGTGACGGGTTTGGGAGAGGGGAGGCGAAACGCGAGGAGGGTTGCGAGGGATTTGGGAGAGGGGAGGAGGAACGGAGGGAGGAAGACGAGGGACGGGAGGACGAGAAGGAGGAGCGAGGTGAGGAAGAGGAGGATGAGTATTCGTCCCGCGAACTTAGAAAGAGCGTATCTGGTCTGGACTTGAACTCTGCTGATTGTGAGTATGCGAGACGTGACTGAAACGAGGTGGAACCGAAATCGTCGTCAAAAGCGGAGGCTGGATTAGCGGCAAGTAAGGCGTCGTCGTCGTCGAAATCGTAATCGTCATCGTCACCATAATCAGCTGGCGTATTTGTTGGGCTGACAGAACCAGTCCCAATTGTAGGGTCGGTCAATTTGTCTAAGTGAACCCGGTTATAAGAATCAGTCAGGCTGTCGGAATCAGTTAGTGAGTCAGCACTACTGGACGGAGCGCGCGTGCTGAGGGTCGAGCTCCGTGTATCTGCGAAAGAGCTGCTGTCGCTACTAGATGGTAACCAGGATGCTTCGCGGTGTTGATGCCAATGAAAGTGAGCGCGAACACCCTCCTCATCAACGCGACTATTGAATGCTGCAAAAGAAGAGAAAGTTACGAAGAAAAGACGGTGGATGAGGAAACTGGATGGATTCACCGATACGTATACCGGAGGAGCTGGGAGCCTAGATGTGCTACCGGGACACGGAATTTGCCCTAACTGCAATAGTCCAGCCACGGCAAAGGACTAGTAGCGAGCATCAGCAACCACAGCGGGAAAAGCTGAAAACACATTGACGAGCCGAGACTCGGTATGCTGGCTGTGTACATTAAGACGAGAGACTACTGTACTTGCCGACCAGAAAGGCAACTGACAACGGTAAGATTATTTATTACCTTTAGACAGCAAGAGCGGTAGGAGTAGGAACGCAACGGCCAATCCCGCGATGCCAAAGACGGGGTTTCGTTTGCGTATTCGACTCATGCTGGCTTTCTGCGTGACTCAAAACTGGAAACAGGGGTCTAAGGCGCGCGAATGCCGATGAGTATCAGAAGCATCAACGTGCTCATTCAGGACGCTACGTACTAGCCGTTAACATGCAGCTGAACTTTACAATACGTCGCCAAGGTCCTACTGGTTGCTAAGGGCCTGGCTGCAAAGCACCAAGCAAAGAGACGGCAGTTCTTCAAAAGAAAAGTGAAGGCCGAACAAGCGAGGTCCGTTCACTTGACGCACGAAAATGTCAGAGGCTAAAGACCGCCTCGCATACCCGACAGCTTCGGGCAGTTACGGTTTATGCTATCCCAGTTGCTGAAGCAGCGTAACTCAGTGGTTCCTACGCGCAAAAGAAGCTCGCTTCGAGAAAACAAAAAATACTAGCCACGGGCAACCGAGGATAAGGCCGTTAGTCTCTACGTTTTTTGAAACGGATCGCGACGCGAGCAAGGGGGACGGGAGAGTGAATGTGAGCAAGAGGAAAGAAATGAGGAGCCAAGCATGGAAGAGCACGAGGGGAGGATGTGGAGGAAAGTGGTGGTGGCTCATGGAACAGGTTGGGTTCGGGTTTGGGGCGCATTTGGGAGGGAGCTTCGAGAATCGAGAATGGTGAAACGCTGGTGTGGTGGTGGTTGGAGAATCGAGGTCTTGTGGCGGTGGGATGAGCTCGGTGGAAGCGGTTGGGTGAAAAACTCTTCTCGATAAACATGTGATCCCAATGGACAAGGAGATTGACGCGGAAGGGGCAGTCTTCAAAAGTTTTTGTCATCAGCTTAGGGAGCAGACGACCACCGTTGGTATGGTGACGGCGCAGCCTGCTATCTGTGATCGACGGCTTGGATTATGTGAGCTGTTGAGGAATTTTCTCTGGGACAAAGATCCAAAACAGGGAGAATTCGGTTCACGACGGTGGACGTGCTTCCTCTTGGCAGAGGAGTAGTCTGCTCACCTCGTCAAAAGTGCGTCTCGGACGTGGTTTTCGAGAAAATGGGAACGAATGAGGAGCAGTTTGGGCGGGTTTTCCCGCCAAAACGGGCACAGCAAGAAATTCAATATTGTTTGTCTTTTTACTCATCTAAAATTTGTGTATCACAGTAAGAGGTTCTCGACTAGGTTGTTGATGAGTAATTTATACACATACCCGTCCGTCTACTTGGTTCCCTAACGAATTACCTAACGACGCAGCACTTGGTTCTGCAGAGATTGACGACGGACGTAGGAGGTCACAACTTCGGGAAAATGGCAAGTGCAGTGCAGTACAGTGCAGGGTTTCGGGTTACGTGAATTTGGCATGATTTCCACGTGAACAATATTATGATGGCATGGCAAAGTCGATATACCTAGGAGAATGTAGCAATACCTATGCAACAAGGTGACCTGCCAGCGTTGCACCTAGGGCGGTCTGCCTGCACCACAGTCACATGTGAACTTGTGCGCATATGTGCATTACCTACCAAGTAGGTGCATATATGCCCTCCAGATAGTTGATGGTTGCGCACATGTCGGGTTGAACATGTATCGACAGTTGCAACAGGTGCAGATTGCCGAGCGCGTGATGTCGCTCCAAACGCTGGCTTTCGCGAAAACCACCTCATACAAAATTCGCACACATGCACAATTTCATAGTCGTGCATGTTTTAGAGGACTCTCATATTGTTGGCAGGAACTGGGATTTGAACTAAACAATAGAGCACTCTGTTATCTTTCCAACAAGCCGTAGATCACCTCGATCGCCTAAGTATCGAGCGAGATATAGGTATTTATGTGCTAGGTAGTGCTCTTGGAATCAATGAGAGGAGCTCTCTGGATTTTGTAGTCGAATGTATCACATACAAATTGATTCTCGATTTCAGTATAAATCATGCAAATAAGGCGAGCATATTTATAGCTACTCAATACATCGAGTCGCGCATGTAACATCTATGTGGAGATAACTCTACAACGGTAGTGAGCTAGACTATGTGGTTGGCACGAACTACTAGAGGTGATCGTAGCTTTGCCTAGTTCCTTGGTGCTTGCACAATCACGGGAGAAATTGGCAAGAGTTTCACTAGCAAAGTTGGAGTTACAGAATTGTTGAACAAGCAGTGACAAGAGTGACTACATCAGGCACCTAGCAACTCTGCAGCTATTCTGGTCGACAGACAGCACAGCATGGTCGACCGCCTGCCAGCGTTGCGTAGAGGAGCCGCGCCAGCACTGCAGAAAGGCGATCTGCCAACACAGCAAGTCGACGGTGTGCCAACGCTGCAGCAGAGCGACTGTCCAGCGTTGCTCCGTAGAAGACAGCAGTGCGCACGCTCACAGATGCGCGCAGACGATTGGCCCGACTTGCACCGTTGTGCATCCGTCGGCTATTGTCTGCGCGTGACGGGCCACATCGACTTCGGGATACCAACCCGAAGTCGCCTTTGCCATCGCGACCTCGACGACGTTTGCGTGCCTCTGCAGAACTCGCCGAGCAGGTTACCCGGTTGACCTGGACGACCCCAAGTGCCTCTGGTCGACCACCGGGTCCCTCTGGTCGATCACGGCTCCCGTCGAGCTACCCCTTAGTCGACGGACCCCTTCTGTCGACCAGAACTCTCAGCTGTTGTCGACGAGCTCCCCTCGTCGACCGCTGCACACTTCTCAGGTCGACGGACTGCTTCGTCGACCTCCCGGTCGAACAGCCCCTCCTGGTCGACGACCCACCTGTCGCCCGGACCAATCAGTTGCAGCTGTCGAGCTCCCTGGTCGACAGCAACACCACAGCGGTCA